CTACAATTTTATCTGCTTTTTTCTTTTTCAAAAAATGCTCCAAACATGACAGATCGCGCTCTTAAATAATCTTATGCAACTCAATAATATTATTCCTTGAGATGATTTTTTTATCCTCTTCAATTTGTTTGTTGAAAGTTTTGAGTTGCTTCTCTTCCTTATCCTAAATCATTCGCATCTTCAACTTTCTCATCTTAGGACCATTATCGTCGCAATATTTCTTCCTCCTCCAGTATAGCGGTTGTCATGATCCTTCCATTTTTCCCCAATGTATTGAGGGTGAGAATCCCACTTTTCTTCCACCCTCTTTGCATGATCCGATCCTCATGGCTCGGCTTGTCCCCCTCCTCTGTTCGTCCATTCCTCTTGCCCAAAAGGCCTCCCATAATGGTTGGTCATCCCACCACCTCCACCAAAAAACTCCCTTTATATTGTCCCACCATCTGCAAACCCTATTCCAACCCATATCAAAGCCCTAGGAGATGGCTCTTAATAAAAGAAACTCTCCTCGTCGAACTCTTCCCGTCTAATTCCTTTTCCTTTAGATTCAGCCAGGGGAATCCCAGTCAAAACTTGGTTAGGGTTAGCAATAAGAAATGCCAATGGAGTTTTGTATTCCATCTCCATGAGCTTCCTCATCATCTCCTCAACCTTCCTAATCGGTTTTTCATAGATGAACCTTCCTTCCATGATTGGGAACTTCTCCTCCATGCTGGATTTGATTTGCTACATCTCATTTTCTAATGCCTCCACAATCTTTGCTCCATAGGTCCCAAAAAAGTGCTTTGATACCAATTTGATACGTCTTGGAAGTAAAAACAAAAAGAAACAAGTAGAAACTATAGGAATACGAAGGTAAGAGCTGATTTTTTATTATCTCTTCAATAAGAAAGAAAGATACAAGTGACCTACTATTCGAGAGATTGATCAGCTCTCCCACAAACCCTAGACACCGCTATGAACAACTCTTAAGAAAACTATAATAAACATAAATCACATAATAAAAATAAAACAACCTAATTACTTTAAATAAACCATCATATTTTCCTCCCAAAATTAAATTCAAATCATCCCTGTTTCTCTTAATAAAACCTTCATAATTACCTCCTAAATATGAATTCAAATTAATTATCTTTCCCTAAATAAAATCTTCTTAATTTCCTCTCAAGTTTGAATTCAAATCAGTCCTCTTTCCTTAAATAAACATTTCCTAATGTCCTCCCTAATCTAAATTCAAATGTCATCTTTCCCTAAATAAACATTGCTAATTATTTCTCCCATAATTTCTCGTCATTACATAGTGAATATTAAACTCTACTAGGCCCCACAAGCTGGCCCCCTGTGGCATATCAGAGCAAAAGACATAGGGGCTTGAGAGTAAGGGTTGATTAGGGATTTGAAATGAGAAATAGCAACCTCGGCAATCTTAGCTTGATTAGAATAAGATCTAAAAGGAGAGGAGATATGCCTAATGAGGTTATGATTCCTCCTCCCCTTAGTCTAGTTATAGAGAAAGTTTATATCTTGACTAGAATAAGAACCTTGAGGAATTCAATGATAAAAAAAAATCATATAACCTTCAATATTTTCTCTTCTTTCGGATACCCTTAAACCCAATGAAAAAAAATCTTGCTTTAACACCTACATCTTGGTTACCCATTTTTAATTGTTCTCAATTATATTTTCTTAATTATTAAAAAAATAGCATTGAAGAATTTTGTTATGATGTTTGTGAATTAGCAAAATATAAACATATCAGTTTTCAAATGACTGACACAACAACCTTTATTCTTTTTTCTCTTATTCATGGTGTCATTTGGGGATTATCATTTTCCCCATACGGCTCGGTGGTTAGTCTTTTATTGATGATTGTAACTATATGTTCAAAATTTTTCTATAAAATACTAAAAATGATATGAGTACCATCTTTCCCATCTTTTTCAGGATGATTAAAAATCAAATTGGCATTGAAATAAAAATAGTTGGAGGTACCATGAAGATTTGGTTCAAATATAGAAAAAATGTATGAAAGCTAAAAAAGATATTATATGGGTTGAAACGACTCCTAGGGCTTGGTTCAAAAAGTTCGCCAATGTAAGGCTTAACATGTACACAAATAAATCAAGGAGATCATACATTACTTATTGGTAACATTATCATGATATAACTTCAAGGGGAGTCTGCGCATCACTAATTTATTTTGTAACATTATCATGATAGATGTTGATGTGGAAAAAATGAAGAAGTTAAAGAGAATATTACTCATAAAAATTTGAAGTTAAATGATTAGACAAGCCAAGTATCTTTTTGGCACGGAGGTTGCACACTCTCAGTATTGAATATTTATATCATAATAAAAATACATAATAAGCTTGTTGAAATATACAAGTTGGGATGCAAGCTTATCGATAGTCCAATGAAATTCAATCAAAAGCTTGGAGATGTTCTGGAAGCTTTCCATATTTATCACTTATTAGACTCGAAGTTTCATTCATGATTAGTGTTGTGAGTCAATTCTTGCACAACTCGAAAGAATTAAATCTTAGGCCAGTGCATAGACTTTTATAATACTTAAAAGGAACCTCTACTAGACGAATCCTATTAGAAAAAAAGGAGGATATGGTTCTTGAAGCATGTACATATATAATATGGTAGACTGGCAATTAATTTCAAGATATTGCACGTTTTTTAGGAGCAACCATGTGGTTTGGAAGAGTAAAAAATAGATTGTGATAACAAGATTTAGTGCACAAGTAGAATTTAGATTTATGTCAGAGGTGATATGCAAATTTTTATTCCTCAAAATAGTATTGGAAGATTTAAATGTTGAATGAAATATCCAATGGAACTATTGTGATAACATTTTTGCCATTAATATTGCATATAACCCCATGCAACATAACTGTACCGAGCATATTTAAGTTATATATTTTATAAATGTAAAGCTTGACTCTTATCTAATTTGTACTTTTTCATGACTACATGTGAACAAGTTGTGGACATAGTAATCTTTCAAAAATTATCTCGCAAGGTTGAAATGAATGCCATTCATTAATTGGCTTGAGGGGGAGTATAGAATTGCCTCTTAGAATTTTCCCCTAGACTCACGCTTTGCACTTCACCCACCTAGTTAGTAGCTTCCTTCCTCTCCATAGCTACCTCGTTGATCTATGAGGTCTCTGTCGACATGTACCATCGATGAACATGAATGATCGAGGAGGCTTTTCAAAAGTTTGGGTCTGTCGGACTTGGGTTTTGGTTTTACTTACATGAAATCAAACACACCCATTTTGCCAGCTACATAAAGTTGTAAGGCTTCAATCTACATCAATGTTTACACAAAAAAGATAACATGAAGGCAACAACATCCATTTCTACATTGATACAAGGAATAACTTGTTAAATCACCAAGCTCACTATGGGGGATCCATCAACTCTTCTAGAAATAACCAACCATCCAATAATATCCCTTCAAAATATCAATTGGGGGCCATCTATAGGAGGATGAAAGATGGTTTTCAAAAATTTTAAGCATTTTCTTATACTTAGGGCTAGTATTATTTTATCATAAAAAGATAATTCTTTGTTTAATTTATGATTATAAATTTGACATATTTCCTTTGTTATGGAAAGCATATTCAATTATATATTCTGTGCACTTCTACTTTTGAATAAAAGTTAGTGCAATTGTTTTATTTGGGGGAAGGCAAGTAAATCTTAATTGAGATGCTATTTCTTCTTTCAATTCATCATAACCTATTTTCTCTCCACTTAGCCTGGCTTAGTTCGAGGCATGGTTGAATTTCAAAGGATTCCAACGATAAAGAAAACTTACTCTTAATCTTATAAATTACGTTTTAACCTACCCCAACTCTCCTCACCAGTCTCTTATTATATAATTTTGTGATCCTCATATTAGGATGGAGACATTTGGAAATGATTACATCTTTACTCAATTTTTTTCATAATGCAAGTATGTGTCTACATATATAGATAATAGGAGAAAAATTGATGGAAATTAAAATAAAGGAGAACTTCCTCAATAATGAAAAAAGTATTATAACAATAAATAATGCAAATTCCTACCATAGATAGTTAACATGCGATAATTTAAATATGGTAATGCTCATCTACAAACTAAAGTTTGCACAAAAGATATCAACTTGGGTTTGGAAAGTTTGGAAATGCGGGCTTTAAAAATTTGCTCTTTAACTTTACTAAGAGAGCTTTTGAGTTTTCTGGGTTAAATTTTTTGGAGGCAGATTGGATTGCAGATAAGATATTCTCCAGAGATTTTTCCTCCAAGTATTTTATAATATTGTGGAGGTTTCTCATAGGCAAAAGTCCCTATAGTTAATTACCCCTCTCAATGATAAGGGAAAACTTTCAATTAAGGTTAATTGTTAGAAGTTTAAGTGCTTAGGAGTAATAACAAATTTGACATAAAATTATAATTTTACTATTTTTAAATTTAAAGTGGATGATGAGGAATGATAACAAATTCAATTAAGATCCTTGACTATCTCATAGTTCTAGTGCCGCCCCAGTTGTTATAATACTCAATCTACTTAATCAAGGAGCAATCGATCTAATCTGTTAGAAAGGTCGTTTTCAACAATAATAAGTTTCAGCTTGTCTAAGGTGATAAATTTAGTTGATCTTAGCTACTAGATGGCATTGTGGTTTATCAAGTGTGTCATATGATTCTTTACTCAAAATTTTTTAGCAATTTGAGAACTTACGAGTCTCGGCCATGATCGTAATTTAAAGTTTATAGATTTTTTTTTTTGTGAAATTACTTTATGAAGTTTATAGATTTTTCCTATTATTTGATATTGATGCGGTTTCTCCACTTTGGACTTAATATCTCTCAGTACTGTTTTTATTTTTTTTTTAGGCTTTTGTTTCTTCAGTTAAGCAACTATATTGGTGGCAACTGTTATTAAATCACTTACCTAGTTCATTTTTTTCATTTCTCAACATAAGAAATTATATTCCAGGTCTCCGAGGGAAATTCACCATTTACCTATATAATTGTTGACAACGAAACGTAAGAAAGCTTCCTTGTTAATTCTAGTTCTGTCCTGCTCTTTCAATATTGCAAATTCTAACATAGGTGAGTAATTGGAGTTGAAACCATCTTTTGGCATGTTAATCATTGAATTTTACTACTTATGAATATTTAATGTTGGTTTTGTTAATTTGTCTCTGCTATTCTTCTATTGATAGTTATACGATGCTTGGATGTAGTTTTCAATATGATATGGTTGTTGCATATAATTTTTATTTTGTGGTTGTTAATGCTTGATTGCTTCTGGACATCAAATATGTGTACAAGTTAGGGGTGTAAGTGAGCCGAGTCGGCTTGCAAGCTTGCTCGAACTCGACTCGATAACGAGCTTGTGAGCCAAGCTTATTGAGCTGCGAGCTCGAGCTCGAGCTCAAACTCAAGCTCGTCTGTAAAACGAGCTCGAGTTCGAGCTTGAAAAAGGTCGACTCATGAGTTGGCTCGAATGAATGTTGATTTTTTTTAAATAATTACTATTTTATTACATTTGAATGGTTTTAAGAAATTAATGACTACAACTAATAAATGCTACAGTAGTAAATATTATTAAAATTGCAGTGGCTTCAAAGAAAATTATATAAATTGTCACTATGATGCACCGACACGGCACTTAAAGAGGGTATGCAGTGTCGGACACGGACACGCGTCGGACACGACATTTGAGTGTCGCAATTTAAAAAATTAAAATTAAAATGAGGTATCGCTAGGTACATGCTCGGTATCGCTCAGTACATGCTCGTTACTACTCAATATATACTCGGTACCGCTTGGTACATGCTCGGTACTGCTAGGTACATGCTCGGTACCGCTCAGTACCGCTAGGTACATGCTCGGTACTGCTAGGTACATGTTCGGTACCATTCGGTATCTTCCCATACAAATAACTTACGAACTTTAACTTCAAAATTACTCTTACAATAAAATTTTGTATAGGTCGAACCCCGCTAGGGGGCAGCGCCCCCTTGGACCCCTGGCAGACCGGTATATTGTTGTATTCATGTTATCTTATTATTGGGATATTTTGATTTCACTTCATATCAATTTAATTTGATGTATTAATATGTGTGATTGGTTTGTTAGCAAAATGATGATGTAGACAAAGGGGGGACAACTCATGTTCAAAATAAATCAATTTTGACCTCCCTCGAGTTTACAAGCTCAATCAAAATTTAGCTGAAATTTTAGCTCATTTATGAGCTGGTCTTCACTTATTGAACTAAGGGTTAGCTCATTATTAGCTAACATTTTAGTTCATATTTATCTTTTTATTAAATGTAATTTTATTGTTTTTATGTCTTTAATTATGTTTGTCTCTTGGAATTCCAAACCGGCCTTTGGAATTCCAAGAAGTGTTGTTTCCCATGCCGTGGCTCCTTGGCTTCCACGGTGGGCTGCTGTTTTTCGTGCCATGGCCCTTGGATTTCCGGCCTGCTGCTGGTTTTCCGAGCCTGGGGGTTTTCCTGTGGCTTTGGCGCCTTGGTTCCGTGCGGCTTCTTCGGCTCCCGTGGTGGCTCCTTCGGTTCTTGGGTTGGGCTGTTTTCCGTGAATGCATGGGGGGATTTCCATGCTTGTGTGTGCTTGGATTCGTGTGTGAATTCAATGCCAAGTCTTTGTTCGTTTCTCTTCTCAATACCTATATATATATATATATAATATATATATTATATATATATATATATATATATATATATATATAAATATATATATATATATATATATAATTATATAATGAGATGATTTGATTGTTTTTAAAGTAGTGAATATTATGTGATTTTTTGGAAATGTAAACCTGCGGGGTTATCATGAAAAGCTTACGAGTTTTTGTCCACCTTCTTTCTCATCCCGCGGAAATCATTGCACGAGCGTCTTTGCAACCTTTCTTCTTGGCTTTAACCTCTTTTCGTCTCTCGCAAGTGCCACTCACTAGTAATATCCCTCTAACTAAATTGTGAACAATTTAGGGTGTCTTTAAATTACGAGTCAAGAATCTGATAAGTCGTTGTAATTTTTGTTTTTTTTTTTTTTACAATTCTAATAGGTCTTAGATTTGGAAATGTAAAAAAGAGTTTTGATATCCTAATATCTCTATAGTAGAATCTCTTCCTTTATGTGTCTGCTTCTATCTAACCACATAGTAATAGAGTTACAAATTTTGTCATTTTTTGTGATAAAAATATAGGGTCGCCCAATTTTTTGTTTGCATCAAATGAGCTCTGCTGCTGGCGGGGGTGGATTAGGTGATTATGTTCAAAGAGCATCTATCCACGTCGTGTCCGTGTCTATATTATCAAGAAAAGAATTATAATTATTTAAGCATTTCGTGCCATGTCAACGCCGCAACACAACGTGTCCCTATATATTTATTAAAATTGTCCAGTTCCAAAAAAGCGTGTCTTGTGTAGATGTGTGTCGTAGTTGCCGGTGTCCGTTAGTCAGGTGAAATCATAGATTGATTACCAAGCAAAGAAAAAAAAAAAAAAAAACTATAGCAATTAATAGTATTAAACATGCCTTTTTCTCTACACCAAGAAAAAAGGCAGCAGCTGTCTTCCATGGCGTGTGATGTTGTTCACGCTCCATAATAAGAGAAAAAAATGCAAGTTTGTTCTATCTTCTCTTACGAGCTTTGAGCATTAACGGGTGGCTAGATGAGCTCTTTTGCGGCACGAGCTCCTCTTTATTGTAACAAGTCGAGCTTGATCACAGCCCTTCTGAGCTATCGACTCGAGCAATCGGATTTGAGTAGTACGAGCATGAGACTCAATGAGGTTTGGCAATGAAACTCGAGCTCGGCTCAAACATTGATTAAAAACTCACTAGTAACAATTAATTATTTAGCCATGACCTTAATGTGCACATATTAGCATATAAAACCAGAAAAAAGATAATAATTATATTAAGTCATCCATTATGTACTAATATTATTAATTGAAAGTGTGCTTAATTTGTCACATTAGTATTAGTGATGTTATTTAAATGGCAAATTCCAATATAAAAATATAAAGTGTTGATAACTTGATCTTGCAAAATAAAGTCGCACACGAAGGTCAAATTTTACATTTTAAAGAGTGTTTTTAATTTAATGTGATGTACTTTTTAAATTAATATCTATTAGCCACTTTTCAATTAAGATATTTATTAATTTCTTTCTTTTTTATTTCCTCTTAGTCTCTTAGCCATACTTCAATCTCATTTATTTTACTAGCACCATATGATTCTAGAAAACAAGAATTAAGAATGATTATCCATTACTTTTGTTTGAATTTCCTTAGTTTAGTTGCTTGTGTATGAAGGCCCCTTATTAAAATTTGTCTATAGTTATTCAATTAACTTGCAACAATAAAATCACACTGTAGAGAAGGTGTGTATAGGACAATGGGCTTGACATCGGACTAAGGCTATTAAAAATTTATGATGAGGAAAATATAATGGCACATTTTGTCATTATAAATAATAACTATGATCAAAAGTAATGATAAAGGCTTCACTTTTCCTCCTATTGGTGATTAAATCTGTAATATATAATGTGTAATAAATGGCTAATAAATAATTCATGAAGGAACAGAAAATGTGACGTGCAAATGATTCATCCAATGCCATAAAGTTTGACAAACAAATCGAAGTTCACATCTCAATCTTTAAAGTTTATAATATACTTGAATACTTTTATATTTTTTGTGCAATTTGTAACACCTCCCATCATATCTTCAATTCCATACCCTCATAACTTTTTAGATTTTCATGTGCATGTAGACTTAAGGATTTTAATCAAGGTTGTGAAAATTGCACCGGACAACAAACGAAAGGAGAGGTTCATGTTTCCGATGGTTTGACTGCGGTAAGATTTGGGTTGAATTGGATAACATAATAAATATTAAAATTATTTAAATTATAATATAATTACATAATAATTAAAATTTTAAAAGTGAATAAGCTCATGTACAAGCTTGATTAAGGCTCAAGATAAAACTCATTAAGAAGCTTGATTGACTATTAATGTGTATAAATTTATTTATGTTATAAATATAGTTTTATGGATATGAAATAAGTTTAAAAATTAAAATATAATAATGAGATAAATGTATAAATATATAATATAATTTTAATAAGAATATAATATAATATTTAAAATTTATAAATGCAAAAAAATTATGTTCTTTAATTTTTTGTAAATTATATGCATTCTCAGTTAATATTCATAGCCCTGTGCATAAGTTTACATCTTATCCAAATATCTAACTAGTTTTTAAGTTCCAACATATCAAGGAGAAATTTTAAGTTGTTATCTTTATTTAGTTTTAAGTACAAACTAAAAGCAACAAATCAAGCTATGTGATGTGGCAGCTACATATTCTGGTTAAATTTGCTTATATATGTCTTTAAATGATTTTTTTTTAATTAAAAAAATAATAAATAAAAATATTATTAATTTTTTATTAAATAAAAAAAATAATTTATAAAACAGGTCGTTTCAACAAGAACATAATGGAACGGTTTTTGACGGTTTTTTTTATTGAACCGGCCGCTCACAACAAATTCATGCCAGTCAATGTGAATCTGGTTTCCAAACCTGGCCAGACCAGCAATTTGACCAGTTCACGGTTGAGCCTGCCGGTTCACTCCAATTTTCAAAACACTGATTTTAATGTTTGATGCATTGCGGCATGATTTCTTATGAGCAATTTGATCTTTATATTGCCCAAGGGGATTAGTTTTTAGTGGTGAGAGTTTATTTGTTTTCTTTCTCAATATAAGGGGCTGTAAGTTACCTAAGGTTTGTGAGATCTTTAATTAAATGTAAATGTTTGTGAATTTTTTAAAGAGAGTTTTGTGTAAGATATAAACCTAGTTTCACATGCTGCGAAATTATTACTGTTTTCTTCGGTTAATATGAGAAAATCACAATGGAAGGTTTTACTTTATTTTGATTTATAAAACAATACGTTCGTAGTTGATCTTTCTTAATGTTCCAGGAAAACTCGTACTTGCATTCATACACCTGGATATCCTCCTATGGTGCCAAATGATCTATCAGATTCCAAATTGTTTTCTGCCCTAGATGGTTCAAGTCTTGTGTACTTAGATGGAAGACTACATGAAACTGCGTTAGTAGTTGCTAAAGAGGTAATAATCACTATATCACTACCTAATGATGGGTCTGTTGAAAGCTTGTGAAGAATACATTAACTACGAGGAGATTAAATTTTTTTGAAGGATTCTGGATAGTGCAAAGAGGATTGTTATGATGAAACAGGATTTTAAATTAATTGTCTTCTCTGTAAAGCTGATATGTCAAATGTCCAATGTGTGTGGCTTCAGGCCTTGACATGTTTTGGATAATTTTAAATTTCGGTCGGCTGCTGGTGCTTTACCCAGAAATAACCAATTGAAGTCAGAATCTATGATTATGATTACTGATCCAATCATTTTGTCCATAGAAATAAGCTTTCTATATCTTCAGTGCAGGCAACCCAAAGAAAAATACCTATACTCGTTGATGCTGAAAGAAAGAGGGAAGGATTGGATGAAATCCTTAAATTGGCGACTTATATTGTGTGCTCAGAGAAATTTCCTCAGGCAAGCAATTTTCTCTCTACATGACATATTTCACACTCGTTCTTGAAATCCCGCTAAAACATTAGTATAAGGAAGGGATTTGGAAATTTGACCTTTTGATTAATTGTTGGCAATATGAAAATTTTTCCCTTTTTAGGAGATATACTCCATCAATTCTGCTTCAATTTTTTCTCATAATGATTTTAAGGTATTTTCTATGAAAGAAAAGATCTTACCAGAAGGAAAGGTTTGATTTGCAGTTCTGTATAATTAATGAGTTCCATTTTATTGGATTGAGAAATGCGATATTACAACTTCCTCATCCATCACTTTCTTGTTGAAAACATGCGTTATTTATTGTAACGGTCTTATTGTAGGCAAACCATTTTTTTTTTTTTCCAAATTATGGGTTTTATTCATAGGCATTGTTGCAGTTATTATTATTATTCGTTAACATTCTCAATGACCACTTCTGCACGAGAATGTACAATGGAGAATTGCTGCTGTAGTTGAATGACAAGGAGGTTTATTGAATTTATTGTTCTCCTATCATTATCAAACTGCAGGCATGGACAACTATTCCTTCTATTCCAAACGCGTTGGTATCTATACTTCTGAGATTGCCTAAAATCAAATTCGTTGTAGTAACCCGTGGTGATAAAGGTTGCTTAATGCTGGAAAGAAGCATAAATGGTAAGAGTAATATAAACGTTTCTTATTGAGATCTGCAAATATGAAAGATAATTATGAGCTAAAGCTACTATTCATGATATCAAACTTCTTTTAGATGATCGTTACTGTCATAAATTTCTGTTGTAGATGCTCGCGAAGCAGAAGAAGTGGAAATAGGAAGCCTTCTAGAATCACTTATGCAGAAAGTTGATAAGCGTAGCATTATTCCAACATGCATCTCTTCCAAAGTACGTCTCAGGACTTTAAATTCTCTGCTTTTTATTCTATTGTTGATTTTTTATCTTTTCTGCCCTAGTTTTTTGTAATTTCTGGTTTAACTTTGCTTAAAAATTCAGTGCAATTTAACTATTTCTGGAACTTATAAAACATTCATAAAGATACCCAAATAATTCAGACAAGGCCAATGATGTTGATCATCAAATTGTAAAATTTCGAGGTGTTATTTCATAAAACATTTGGTATTCTGTTTGCAAATCAAAAAGAGTTCCGAGTAGTTGTAAGTAAAAACTATCCCATGTACCCATCTTAAACCAATCTAAGTTATACATGACCTTATTTAGTCTCATCTAAAAACTAATTGGTCTAATTAAATCTTACTTGATTTTTAATTGATCTTTATCTCGCTTGCAAGGCTTGCTTGACTTTGGATTCACGAGCAAGGAACATTAGCAATCTCGGTAGCTTTCTTTATCTTTGCCTGGCTTCAACCGTGCCAATCTAGTTCACCTCCTAAGGATTTTAACCCTTGTAAAGACTAATTGATTTACTTTTTAGCCTAAGTTAGCCTACTTAAACCCTTTAGAACTTTAATTAAGTCATAATTTTTTATCCTAATCATTAAGTACTTAATATTAGGTTAATTAGTGTTCTTGTTAGTTGCCTTGCTAATGTCGTATTGCTTTCTAATTAGTTCATTCAAGCATAGATTAGCCTTTTACAATCTTAATTTATACTTAAGGATTTATAAGTTAATACCCTAATCGTTAATTAATCAGTAAATGTAATCCTAATCAAATCATAATTAATCCATATTTGGTTCCATCTAATCAATAACTATCCTAATAAATTAAGCCTTAACTAAGTCCTTAGAATACTAATCATGTCTTAAACTAGCAGCATAGTTTAATTAATTTATGAATTTTTTTTATTGGTCTATTAATTTCTTATTATTCCCTTTCTATTCTTTAAGGACTAATTGGTGTAACGTAACACCTAAATTAACATTCTCGTAATTAACTATTATTAAATACCTATATTAGTTCATACTTTAAATAATTAATCAATAATTAGCCTAATTAAATTTTATTAATATGTAATTAGTCTAATTATGTATAAACTTAGTTTAGAATCTATTATTCATAATTAACATATGTAAAATCATGTTATGTTCTATAGGATAGAGGTATTTGAAAGTTTTTTATCGAACAAGTGGCTATTTTACAATGGATAAATTTTATGTAGTGACCTAAAGAAGATCAAAGTTTACATATATACCACTTTATGATATCTTATTTATATATCTAGCACCTAAAATTTTAATATTACATGCATACCGCTCTATATTATTTTAATATCAAATATATCACTTATATTTCTTTCCTACCATTCATATATATTTCATTTCTACCACTCATATTTGATATGAAAATGAACTATGGGTGGTATGTATGTAATATTAGAGTTTTAGGTGTTAAGTATGTAAATAGAATAGTATTAAGTGGTATGTATGTAAATCTCCCTTATATAAAGTGATAGTGAGCGAACTTGTTTTAAACCTAATATCTTATGCCTATAAAAGAACTACCTGATATTTCTACAACATATTTTCAATAATCTGATGGGAACTTTTACAGACTCGTATACCCTATCATCAAAAGCCCAACAGCTGGGAACCTTTTTTGCTAGCACATATCTCCTAGTAGAATTGTAGGATAACTGAATTAGTTTTCTCCACCTGAAAGATAGATCACTTATATTATGATAGATTATCCTGTCCTAAAGCAAGGTAAACACCCCAACTAAACAAGTACACATCAAGCTAATTGCAAAGTACATCAAAGTGGAACATGGATATTTAAGACTAGTTGAGCTAAGCATACTATGGATGGGTGTTGACCTCTAATTGTCGGAGAACCCGACACCTTTCGGACCAAACCGGACCCAGCGGACCGAAACTACCCCAAAACTGCCCACGATCCAACAACCGTCGCTCCTCATGAAACAAAATAGACTCCTCTCATTCGGTTCTCACGCACACATACGCACAGAGAAACAAAAGGGAGAGGGAGGATTTGCGAAAACTGATCGAAGACGAAGGAAGCTCGACGTCGTGCCCTAGATCCGCTTAATCTGCTCTAATTGAACTCAATTGAAGCCCCTCTAGCCTCCATCTTCCCCGACGCCATCCTCCTGCTCCTATCAAACCTCGGCCAACTCTGCATCCGCTGGCCTGCCTTCTCCACTCCAGCAAACGCCGACGCCAACCTAACCTCCAGTCCGCACAAACCCAGCCTCCAAACCTCCTCATCCCGCCGGCCACCAAGGACCCGCCGCCGACCTGAACCTCCCGAACCGCCGCCGCTGTCGAGCCCTTGCCCGCGACCTGCTCTACGTTCGGCCCTAGCCCGATCGGGTCCTTTCCGATTCTTCCCCTCTCTATTTCTAATACATTATATAATATATATTATATTATATGTCACTGTAGTATATATTATAATATCATTAATAAAATAAAAATAAAATGAAAATAATTTGCAAGCGGTGGGAGGAATTTGAGAAGTCCCGGGGTTGATGCGGTCCATTGAAGCCCTTGGTCGTCGAGATTATCCGCCGAGGGAGGCGCAGACTCTAAATCTTCCAATCTCCTCGCCGTTGATTCGCTCTGGCCGAGTCGAGCAAAAGGGCAAATGCCCTCTTTATGATTTTTTTAATTAATCAAAATTAAGTTAGATTTCTTAAATCAATAGGTTGCGTACATCAGAAGATTCCTCGACAGAACGCCTTATGGGATTGATTCGCTCTCCCAATCTCCTCACCGTTGATTTATTCCGGTCGAGTCGAGCACTCCCTTACCTACCGGCATCGGGGAGGGGACGCCGAAAAGCTGCTGAAACTTTACTTGAAAACTCTGGACTTAGCCAAAATTTTGTGAAGATTGAAAAATGCTTAAATGACCCTCATATAATTGATTAAAATAATAATAATAATAAAATTTTATTATTATTTTTAATCAATTTAAAAATAAGGAAAATGATTTGGACTCGAATATGAACTCGATTTGAAATTGACTTTTTTTTTTTCTTTTAGTCCTTAGATGTTCGATTTGAAATTGACTTGATATGTGATACATTCAAATTGAGCTTTTCATCAAGGTCTTGCACTCAAGGAAATGACAAAGTTATTTGAACCATTATTAAATCATACATGATATTAATTACACAAGTAACTTGAGAAAGTTTGAAAACATTTTTTAACCTTATATCAATGAGTGATAATGGGTATTCCTACTTCAAGAACTATATATGTTAATCAACATAGAGATACTTATGTTGATTTGAAGGTTAATATGTGCATATCTAGCATTTTAAATAGTGAATATTCAAATGCTAGTATAATTGTTCCATTACATACTTCTCTAAAACTTTCAATGCTACCTTAGAACGTTCGACGTCGAAGATAAGTTGACTTGGCATTGATAAGCAAGTATGCACAATATAAAGGAAATATGAGGATTACCATTGAGTCAAGTACTCAAATCAAACTTACAAGATCATCTGTTGTATATAGTTCATTCTAGCTTGAATTATTTATATCTATAGATCATTCTAGCTTGCTTAGAATTATTTATAAGAGTGTTTGTATAAATTTTTGTACTAAGAAGCGGTTTTAAAAAATAGTAAGAAAGTCGTCCCAAATGAAACTTAAGAAGATGTGCTCACATCCAGTGGCTAGGATTTATTGTAAAATATATGTAACTCTTGGCTCATGCAACCTCGAGTGACTTGAGTGCGGAAAATGAAGGCGACATTAAGTGCAATATTATATTTGTAAAATGAAATTAAGAGAGAGAGAATGTAACCTAGCCTAATAAATAAATATATAATTTATTAATATTGAATAAACAATTAAAAGGGTTGTACTTTAAAAAAGTTTAATTGAATAGTATACTAGCAACAATTGAGTCTAATGTCAAGCCTATAAAAGTTTACTTATTGAATAATACATAATTTTTTCGTGAATATAAATAAACTAGTTGTATTATGCTCAACCTTGTTTACACATTTTTCATGTTGACTCGATTCAAATAGAGTCAAATTAGACCCGATCATATTTTATTGAACCTGATCAATTCAAATCAGCCCCGTCGAACCCTAAATCTATTCAAGTAGACATCCATTCGAGTTCAATTTTATTAAATTGACCCGATCGAGCCAAAGGACTTAAATCGATCCGAATTATTTAAATTGAGTGGCTCAATTTCAGTCCAATTGATTGAAAATCAGCCCAATTGACTTTCCAAATCAATTCAAATTCTGGCCTAAATTAGAAAATCCATTTAACGGCCCTAATTTCCTTGAAATTCCAAATCTGAGCCGCTGTGGCAGTGCCCAGTCGCATGATCCCAGTACGGTACCGATTTGAGCGGCTTTGGTAGTTCCTTTGGCAGAGATCGGGTTGCAAGACTGATTTCGTGTATAAGAGAGCGGGAGAGGGTTGATTCGAAAGGTCCGTTTCCTCCTGCTGCGTGCGTTCTAGACAGAGACTGGGAGAGCAGACCTTGTGTTCTTTTTCCAGCCGTGCAGAGAGAGAGGGAGAGGGAGAGCGTCTGGAGCTGCGGTTTTCTTCGGCTTTGTGCGTGCTTCCTTCCACTCGAGCAAAATAGGGCGCAGAGTTGAGGATCGGGGCTGGAGTCGGATCGAGCAGGAGAGCTGCTTGCATGAGGTTTGGGACGGGATCGAGCGGCCGGGATCGGCAAACCCGCGTTTGTTCTTCGGCTAGTCGAGTTGATACGAGGGGTCAAACTGGAGCAGAGAGCCTTGCGTGCGCATTTGAGGCCGAACCAAAAGTTGCGATTGCTGTATCGTGCGTGACCTTCAGAGCCGACGACATCTACATGCATTTGGACCTAAACCAATGGTCCAGGTAAGTTCGTTCTGCAAACAGAGAGCAGGAGAAGGAATTGGGTTGTTCGGGCTGGTCTCTTCTTGCAAACTGAGAAGAAAATCAGATGTAGACCTTCGTTCCTGCAATCAGGGAAAGTTTGGGAGCTTTCTTCTTCCTTATAAATCAACTCCAGCAAGCTCGTGGCAGTGGAGAGCATTTGGGGCGCTTTGGACAGCAAGCCCCTTCCTCCATCTTGTTTTATGCAAGATGAGAGCATTCTGTCAGCTGTGTGGCTTGACGCGGAGAGGTAAAATCTCCCAAACTAGCAAAACTTAGGTCCACCGGCCAATGTATGTGTGTATGATGCCCCCCGACTCCCGAGCCTTAGAAACCTAGAAAACCCTTGCATTTAATTTTCAAACCCAACAATAAATCCCCTATTTGCTGTCCTCTCCACAAAACAGTGAAAATTCGACAATTTCCACTTGTTTTCTCTCATGTGAAAGTCCGAGGAGGATATCGACGCGCGTAGGGTGTTTTGATTGGTTTCCTACATCTCCAAATGCATGAAATAGCATCATATTTCATTCCCACACCGTCACCTATGGTCAAATCCTAGGTTAAGTGATATTTGATGCTGAATTAAATGTTGAAGTGTAGATTGATTCCAAATGTTGCATGCTATGTTCTTTCTCCTATAATTATGTGTCATGACAAAGGAGGCACACAAGTGTAGGAGCTTGCATTTGTTGGAGTTTGTGGGTCTTCCATGGCTTTGGTAAATGCTCAAATGCATTTGATTGGCTTAAATAGCACACTCATCGTAGGATTTTATGATGAATCTCCAAAGGTTTGTGTTTCACATCCTAGGACTAGTAAATCTATTGAAATTCATTTTGATTGTTTTGTAAAGCTCATGGAGATGACAACAAATAAACACTTCCTCTACTTTTTAAAATTTCTAAAATTGGGGACTACATGGTTTTAAAAGCGGTTATGTGAGTTTGGCTGATAACTCTTTTTAGGCATGATTGTTAATCTAGAAGTCGGGCTGACTTATAACTCATGTGAGGTGTAGGCTCATAAGTCACTTGCACTCCGTTAGACTTAAGTTTGAGGCACTACCCCTCAGTAGTCCTCACATTAGCTCTAGGATTCGAGGTTGTTGTTGAAGTACAGTCACTTCATAATAAGCCCTCACACTCTGGGCATTTTCTTCGATGTGTTGTTGGAATATAAGCCTCAACATTCTAAATCAAATCGGTCAACTTGAACAAAAAATTAATTTTGAAAATGTAAATCCCAATCAGATAGTTTGAGTACCTCTGAATTTTCTCATAATCTAGTACTCCTACATTTTTATCCCTTTGCCTCTCATTCCTAAATTTTGATTTAAAGTTGATTTATCATCCTTGAAATTCTCAAAATCAAATCTTTGAATGAGAATTTCTCAAATATCAAAAATGAAAATATTAGTCAGTATTTTGATGATTTAAAAGAAACCATTTGTTCAAGCAAAAGTGTTCTTATATAACAAATGTTTGAGATGAAATTAACCATAGGGGCAAGCCCCTATGGAACATCTGCACCCAGAATAAAATAAAGTTTATTTAACCAAAAATTGAATAGGGGAAAATGTCTATTAAAATTAAAACTATGAGTTTTGTTATTGAGTCTATAGCGAAATATTATTTTCTATGTCATGCTCGCCATTGAGGATGATAAAATTTCTCCAACAAAGCTTAGGTCATTTAATATTTGAGTTTTTTTAAAAAATGTTCAAACTTGTTTAATTATTAACTCGATAAAACTTAACTATTAATTGAACCAAATTCGAGCTATTTATTGAATGTATTGGTTTACTTGCATTTCTACTTTTACTTGGGGTTTATTTTTGTTAGTTTCCTCGTAGTTTTGCTTTTCCAACCACAATCATATTTGGCTATATTTTTTGAACTATTTTTCAAAAAATTATAACTAAATCATTTAGAGTGCGGTGGTTATAAAGAAGGTTATTGTCTGAATTTTTCAAAAAGGAAACAACCTATAATACCCATAGACGTTTCAAAAAAAAATAAAAAATCTGCTTCCCCAAATGAGTTCTACAAAATGGTTTGTACATATAACTGTAAACACCCGAAATGCACCCTTATCTAATTGTCTGCATCATATTTTTCTTTCTAGGTCAATCAACTCAAACGTCTGAGGTTCATTAAAAATTTGTACCATTATGCTGCTTTTATTTTTTTATTATGGCATCCCACCCTTTTTTTATTTTTTTCATAATTCAAGATCTTTACAGTATTGTCTACTTTCAGACAAATATAAGGATTAGCGCTGATGGAATTGGTTCAATCAGTGGAAGGCTGTTAGTGGGAACAGCTGAGTTGATATCACCTTCAGAACTAACTGACACCACCGGTGCTGGGGATGCTTTCATAGGAGCAATTCTCTATGGTTTGTGAAACTCTTAAAATTTTCCCTAGTTTATTTCAAGGATCTTTAAGTAATTGTTCTTTTGGTTTTCCTTTGAATTATTCATCAATTACCAGTTATTTAACGGCTTCAGGCTAAATGACATAAAACTTGATATTGATTTTTTAACTTTGGAATAGGTCAGATCATTTTGTGGTTTTTGTGGTCTTTGTTTTCATTTTGTTAAATTATCAAACCATGGCCAGATTCTTCTTCTAATCATAGTTTTGTAGAGACGGAAAGGAAAAGAAAGATGTAGAGAAATTTAATCTGGTTACCCGATAATAATGATCAGTCGGGGATCATTTATTTTTCAACCAAGCTTAATACTCGCTTTGATCACACTCCACTATCACGTTGGCTTTATATAACCTCATGTTCCATTTTTTTTCTCCTGCCAAAGGCTACATTAAGTGTTAAACCTCGTCGTCTCAAATCATTTTGAACAACTTATTCCTTATTATTTTAAGTATACCTCTTCTTCTTAATCTTTGTACGCTAATTTTATATACCATATTGGTGTATTTCTATCATTCATTTTATATGCCTAAACCACTTAAATCTATTTTCAATTATATTATCTTCAATAGTTGTCACTTCAAACACACCTCTTATATAATCATTCCTCGAGTTATCATTTGTTTTTTGATGCAACACAAGAGTGCTTAAACAACATAATGTTATGTTATTTTTAAAGTTTATTGTAACATGTATGCCATTTTGTTTTTCTTATGTCCTGTTTATGTAAGTCTTTAAATTAACATTGGAAAAAGTTTTTTTCTGTCTTTGTGTTGAAAGTTTCCTATAATTTTCATGTTTAGAGTTTTTTTTTTTTTAACCCCATCTGTCAATGCTAAATTTCAAGCCTAAGTCAAAGCCACCAAAATCAAACCTAGCCTAAATCAACTCTACTAAATTGGCTAATCATACTCAAATCCATCACCAAACTGGAGGCCTCTTTAAAAAGGACCTTTCACATCTTAAAATTAATTAATTCACACACCAAACTCTAAGCAAATACATCCCTCCTTCCTCCCACTGAAGTTTTCTAGTTATTCTTCAAGTCTGGTGTATGATACCATTGCCAAACCAAAAGTTCAACCAGGAACTCCACTGAAGGTTGTAAAAAATCCTCTTCTTCTTCTTTTAGTGATGATGTTTTTGCACAATTTCTTGCAAAGCATAAACGTGTCTTATATTTGTGCAATTCTTTTAAAACCACATACTCCTTTAGCTTCTCCCAAAGTTAAAGTGGAAGAAATTGATAAGGATCTTTACAATGAAGAGCCTCTTTCTGATTAAGAGGATTCAATCTCTTTCTAATTTGGAGATATTTGATGAACAGTTGAAACTCAAACTAAATAGGTTTCATAAGCAATTATATAAGTTTCGCATATCATTCCGGAGATGGAAAATGAAGTTGAAGAAGCATAAGAGAAAAGTTCAATAGTTTCTTCTTTATAAAATCTCTTAGAGTTTGTCCTTCAAGTTTGAACCTGTTGAGGAAATAATTGCACAGATTCTTGCTACTACATAAAGCTTTCGATTCATCCTCCCTCGAATTGGCTGAAACTCACACATATTATGAGCTATTAGCGCACGAATCCTTAAATTGTCATCATTAAAATGTAAAAAGATTTTAAATTATATTTGCTTTTTTAATCTGTAACAAGGTCTTATGTGTTGTTTTAAGTGTTTGGGGTTTTTTTTCTTCTGCCTTCCCAGCTTTATGTGCAGGCATGCCGGCAGAGAAAATGCTTCCTTTTGCCTCTCAAGTGGTATGAGTACTTCGTCACCGTCTTTCAGTCAGCTTTCTTTTCCTCCTATTTCTTCTCTCTTGCTTCATTTTATCAGTTCTCACTACTTATCAACATCTAGATTTCAGTTTCTCCATTGTTGGGCTGCTGTGTGTTTCAGGCTGCTGCTGGTTGCAGAGCTTTGGGTGCCAGAAGTGGTCTACCATGGCGCACAGATCGTCGCCTCGCTCCATTTTTGGCAAGTTCCAACCAAAACTCGAATTTTTTAGCTTGATTTTCTTTCATACGGTAATAGTTCAAGTGAAAAAGAAAATATGAACAGTTTAACATTTTTTAAGTTATGTTCTTGTTGTATTTTAATTTCAGATTTTATTGTCAAAATACACTTCAGTAATAAGGATTATAAACCCTAAACTAGAAAAACATAAATTTGTTGTTCTCTAACTAAAACAGATCAATGTTTGCTCACTTTAATGCTATAAATTTACTGTTTAATTCTGACAAATGTTATGTTAAATCAACCCATAACTTTTCAAAAGAATTGTGTTGTTTTCCAACCGTTCATAAGGTTATAAGCTAAGTTGTGGCAACCAAATAACAGTGACAAGCAGAACACCACAAGTGCAATTAATAGAGAATCAGTTCTTGATGATTCATTCATACACTATTATTTGTGTGGTTTAGGTTTTGTTTGGGATGATCTTTTTATTGTTTCTTAAATTAGTACTAAAACTTTTAATTTTTGTATTAGAAAGCTGCATTAAGAAACAACAAAAAAATTGTCGCAAACGAAACCTTAATGATTCAATCTTGAAGTAATCAAGCACCAAAACAAAGGCAAGCTGGGCCTGGCTATTGATAGGTACAAATTGATAGAGTTATCTCGTTAAATTTATTGTAAGTTTAATCAAGTTAAAGTTAATTAAAATTTTCTTTCTGATGTATCTTTACATGCCTACATTGATGCATAAATGCTTGTTCTTTTAATTCATTTAAATAAAAATGCGAATGTATCCTGTTTGCATACTTTTCATTCCTAATGACTGAGATCGCACAATATTAAAAGCAAATTATGAAAACCAAAGCAACCTAAAAGAAATATTGACGATGCGTATCATTTCAAATTTTTAGATTTTTGGCGTTCTTAAGGATTTCCTGTATCCTCCATTTCATGAGTCATTTTTTGACAATTAATTGGACTTAAAAGAGAAACATTTCATAGCCTCGCTGCATGCCAAATACAACCGAACACCTTAAAGTATGGGCAAGGTCAAATCTGATTGGCAAACAATCAGATGGCTTAAAACCACATCAACTACTACATAGACAAATGCAGGGTTACAGATTATTTAAATGTCCGTAGATAATAAGGTTTAAGAATTTTAGCACGTATCTTAGACTTTGTTTGGGATGATTATTTTGATATTTCTTAAAGCAGTTTTTTAGTATAAAAAAATTATTATTTTTAATTAAAAGCTACTTTAAGAAGTAATAAAAAAGCCTGTCCTAAAAGAAGCTTTAGGCAATCATTTTGGCATATATCTCAAAGACATCTTCAAGGCTTTAATCAATTAAAACTTAGGGTTCAACAGAGGGGAGTCGCTTCATATTATTGGACTACCTAACTATAACCATAGTATCATACCTATTAACGGTGAATGACGCACCATGGCGCAAAAGTCCCTTTGAAGCAATGGCGCATAGCGCACGGTGTGGCACATGCCATTTTGAACATGGTGTAAATTATATAATAATTATAAAATAATACGCATGAATATGAAATATCATTAAAAATGAAAGACAAACTATCTAAGAGATTAGAATTTACATCTAAAGTCCTCACCCCTTCTCTCTTATACAGTCCAATGTCTTCCAATCAAAACATGCACTCATGAAGAAGTAGACTAACACATATTATTAAAGATGATGAATACAACAATATGCCGGGCTGCCAGGGGTCCAAAGGGGTGCTGCCCCCTAACAGGGTTTGACTGGAACAAATTCTATTTGTAAGAATAATTTTGAAGTTTTGCTTATTTTTAAAGTTTGTTATTCGTTTGTATGGAAAGATATCTAACGGTACTAAGCATATACATAGCGGTATAGCATGTACTGAGCAGCATCGAGCATGTACATAACAGAACCAAATGCTTTTTTTTTAAAAAAAAAAAATTAAAAGGTGGATGCCTCTAAACCATGATTGCTAGTGAAACACTTCAGGTAGCAATTAATATGAATCATACATGTTAACTTGTAAATTCTTATAAAAATATTCATCACAAGTATAGTGAAATTTAAAAATAATTTGACACACTATTTTACGCCGTGGCTCAAATAGCACGCGCTATTTTAAACACGGGCGCCTTGACATGAACATGGCGCTGTAGGTGCGCCGCGCCATGTGAAATGGCGCGCACTATTTTGCGCCATAAAGAGGGATATTTTCTCTACATGAACTGAATAGTTTCTAGAGAGTACAGATAGACCAAAAGAAAATAATTGAAAATCAGTACAGGAAAAAAAAAACACAAATGGTGACAAATGAGCAGAAATCTCATATAACCAAATAAAGCTTTTTTTCCTTGGTTTCAACAACATAGGCAGCAGTCAAGTGCCCTTGTTATGATCATCATTTCATTTTTTTTTTTTAATTTTTCTAACTAGAAGCATGGGGCAAAAAGCTGAACAAATTTAACAAGCCCACAAAGATGGAAGAAAAAAAAAAAGATAACTGACATAATACATCAAAATAATGTACATATGGACCGGTGGAAAATGCTGGAAAATCAAAATGGAGAGGATTGATGTACCCAGCACAGATGCTAACATCGTTCGAAAAGCTCCCATATCGCATGTTCTTTATGCAACTTGGGGCAACCAGCCACGACAAATTTAGCTAAAACAATAGGAATTTACTGGAACTCTTCTCAGGTCAGCATTGCAACTATTTTAACTGTAACCTGGTGTTGGATACAACAAAGAACGAAATAATTAGAAATTACAACAATATGCAGGAATAAATCTGTTCTATTTGGGTCCATTTGATTTCTTGTAAATAAAGATCATGGTAATAAACATAAAATTTGCTATTTCAGTTATCTGGTTGGAAGCCAGTAGAAATCAATATAAATTTTGAAGAACACAAATTACTCAAATGTATGAATTTTATTTTTCACAAATAAAATGAGTGGAAAACAAGGCAACACCTTCAACAAAACATGTTGAAATTAACTTTAACTGAAAACAGAATTTAAATTTATGGTTTGATTTTAAATTTATGACATTTCAAAAAACAAGTCTCGTAATAATTTGTAGATTTGTATTGGCATCCAAGTGCGATATGGCAAGTTTAATTTCAATTTTATTTTGGTTTAGGAGGAGAAATGTGTTTCTTGTGCATCAAAATAAAATAGGGGCATAATAATAATAAACAAATCCCATTTCTCATAGGCCACATCATCACAACTACATTAAAACAAAGAAACTAAAATTGAGAAGTATAAAATAAAATAATTACCAAATAATGAAAGTAAAAATAAACTCCTCCAATCATTTATGAGCTCAACATGAAAATTCAATATAGGCAAGACAAATCAACCTGGAATGTTGGCATATGCTAAGAAAAATAAAGGCAAGCAAGAAATCTAGAAGAGATAAGATGTAAAAAGAATCCTTACACCGGTAGAACTTGCAAATGGTCAGCATTGGTCAGCAATCTAAGGCGTACTTCTGCACCTACAAAAATCAGTACATGATTTTACACAAAAAACACTCTGAGAAAAGAATGAGCAATCATCATCATTAAGCAAAAACCTAGTCTAACACCTCGGGAAATTTTCTGCAAAGAATATATGCCTAACAAAAAAAGATTACCTCAAGCATGTTTTCATCAATCAGAAGCTTTGAACCCGTGCCATTTATCTCTCGTGCACCATCATAATGAAGAATTCTAAGCTTTCCTTCCTGCATTTTTCATCATAAGAATCAGTGTGATTTAAACAAAGAAGCACTCCAAAAAACAAAAATGTTGCCTCTATCATGGTATACCTTAGTTCCATAAACAAGGCCTCCTCCAGGAAGAGGATGAAAACATGCAACATTAACCTCATCTTCAGCACTGGGTAGAACTCTAACTAGTTCCATATCTGAAACTCTATAAACCTGAAAACAGCACACACAACAAATTACGAAGCTTGACCATGTCAAGTGAAAACAATCTGAGGCTAACTTTCTACAGGACATAATCAATTCAAGGAAAAAATCAACCAATAAGATGCAATTTAGGAAGGAACATTTTAATTACAGAATATCCAATTAAAGCAATGAGATCAAATACTAATAGCAGCATACAGCCCACTCCTAGAGTTTCTCCTCTCTAGAACTCACAAAGAGATCAAACAAAAAAAGCTGAAATTTTTCATTCATAATCATTATTAACCCAAAATACAATAGAACTAGCCGATAAATAGGCCTCATGAAAAGAAAAGAAAAGAAAAAATGACTAAAATGCCCTTCGGGCTATAACACAACATGACCACCCCTAGGGGTAAAATGAGAAAATTAGAAATATAAAATAAACTAACACATCAAAAAAAAAAAACTCCAGATGGTAGGCACTGATCTTTGATGTCCTCATCAAGAAGACTTCCATTATCGAAATGAATTATTCACCAATATAGATGAATGGCATCAAAAGCAATAAGAAAAATCAATCCAAGAACTTTGATATTAAAATAAATCAACATAAGAAAAAAGCCCAATAACTGCTCTTGCACCTTGAAATAGCTGCATAGTAAACTGTACTGTAGGATATTGATACCTCTAAGATCGTGTAGATGGGGATTGCAGTCTCTCCATCAATGACAATGCTTCTAAGAAGCGAACTGTGGCGGCGTCCATATGCTAGTAGTATGTGCTCTGATGTAGGAGAGAACTGGAGAGGAAAAAATCAAGGAAGATGACCGTGAGATAGACTTATAGCATGACAAAAGCAAAACTATTTATCCAATATCTAGGAATGTAAATAACAGTTGGGTTCATAGATGATGCTTTTACCGATTGATTTCATGGGTAAATATAGGTTATCAATAGTTGAAATTGATTCCAATAACATAGTCAAAAAGGAAATTTCAAACTTCTGAAGAAATAAACATGAAATCCTAAAATAATAAAAGCAGTTCTACTTGAAAATTCAAATTTTAACAATAAATCAAAATAAATGTTCAAATAGCTGGACATTAACACGTATTTTACTTGACGGAGCCAATTTTCAAGCTAGAGAAATGAGGATATTTATGCACCGTAAAAAAAGCTGGCTTGAGTAATGAAGAAAAACTTTCATTATTTCAATCTTCAGGGATCTTGTCAGAATAAAATCAAAGAGCATGACAAAACTGTATGAAGGGCTCCTACCTGAATAGATGTTAAACAATGAGCAGCTCTTATTGCTCTTGAGGCCAACACTGAACCAAATCTGTCGTCCAAATTGGATTAATCAAAATAAAGTTAATACTATTTTATAATTAATAACAGCCAATGCAAGTAAATCAAGAAGGAAAGTTTTGAAGGCTTACGTTGCCTCTTCAAGTGAGTAGACACGAAGCTCATACATGACCTGGTGTGCAGAAATTGGATGACGTGTGGGAGAAGTTGTAACATCCATAGCATCAAGGCTCGCCTGTGATGGAATTCCTGAATCACCTTCCAAGTCAGGTAGCATGCATGCAACACAAGCTACCAAGAACCTCCCGCAAGGAGAAAAATGGGCGCCCATTTCACTGCAATCATTGAACACATTCAAGCACACAACTACACGAGTATATGCTGAAAGTTCTACATATGATCATTGAACCCTACTTTTCTAAGGATTGAACTTAATGACATGACTGCTGCTATCATCCATACAGCCACATTGACCGAGCTAGCATTTATTAAAATTAATTTAAAAAAAAATCCAATCCACAAAGACCATCCTAAATGAATGAAATCGATCCCAATCCTTCAATGATCACCTTTTGCTGAAATAAGCAAATGCTAGCAAACTTGCTAATTGATTAAAAATAACAAATGATTATAATCAGCACAAAATTGAAATGACAACAGATTGCATGGCACATTGGGAAGTTTCACTATCTAATGGTGTTATCAAGCAAGAAAAGCATGTATTGAATGGAAAGGGCACCTGCAAAGGACAGCATGTGGAATAGTTAAGCGGCATGTATCTGGATCTAGGGAAGCGCACGGATCTTGAATATCATGTGGCCATATTCTAAGTTTCACAGTACAAGGTAACTCTGCAGCTGTTGCAGTAGCCAATGAAGAAGCATTTTCAGTTTCAATGGCCGCTGGACCAGAATGAGGCTGAGGTTCGTCACTCTGGGCATTTAGAAAGGTCGAACCATCAGCAGCACCAGTGCGGCGATTCCGACTACGGGTGCCAGTCCGCCCAGTTCCCCGGGAATTGTTTGCTGTTGTCACTGTTGCTGAAGGAGCTATTATAGCTTCCATGCTGCGATTATACTGCAGATCAGCCAATAAGTTGGGGCCAGCTCCAAAGGCGGTTGAAAGATTACCATGAAATGTACTGTTCGCTGGGAGCAATGAGTGCAAGCCTGCATGAGATTGGCCCATAAGCCAACCCTGCAAGAAAGGAAGCTCCCAACTAACTGAATCAGTGACAGGAATAAACTGCTGAACTTGCCCTGCTTCCATGCTCCTTAGAAGCATTTGAATTTCAGCATTTCCAGAAGAGCTTGGGGAGTTTATGGCAAGATTGCTGTCTGTGCCAGCTCTACTTTGCCTGATAGGTATCCTAAGAGCCACTGGTAAAGCATTGGACCCGTCTGTTCTCTCAGCATTGCTAGTATATCTATGTTGAAACCAACTACTGGACTGCCCATGGGTTGAATCTGTACTCCCTACAAGTGAACCATAATTTGAATTTTCAACTCTAGGTGCCGAAGTATGAAAATCGGTATCCATAAAATTAGAGCCATGAGTTTCTGCAGGAGACATTTCCATAAGAGTCACTGAATTGTCCAGCTGGCTCCCCCAATTCAGTGACCCTTGCAGATTAGATACGGGGCCATCTTGTTGCCTTTGCTGATCATTTGCAGAAACACCAGCCCCCCTGCCAACAAACTGTAACGATGTTGTAACATCATCCTTCAGAAATGTTGGCAAAAACAAGTATGGGGAAGGCATTACTGGCACTTTAGCCTCCACAAGAGACTGTAAACTGGAATTTATATTGGCAAAAAGAACAGCAGGAGGTGGATATTGCAAATAACCAGATGTAGTTGCAAAAGTCAACGTTGAATCTGGAGAATCAAGATCATTAACCTACAAAGATGAAAAATGAGGTCTTTTAGCATGAAAAATTAGTGGATAACAATGCAGAGAAAACACTCAAAAGGCAGATCCACCTCGGCAGTCAATAGAAATGGGGCACCATGTGGATGAAAATGCACAGCCCTTAATGAGCGTCGAGTCTTCAGAACAATTGTTGGGGAAGATGTTTCCCCTCTCCTATTATATGTCCATATGTACAACTACAATAAGAAGAGTCAGAATGCCATTAGGAAACTACATTCATCTTTTTCTTCTGTTTTCTTTGTTCATTGGAACTAAGAGGATCTCACCTTGTGACCTGAAGCCACAGCAAGAAGTTCTCCCTGGGCATGGAAAGCAATAGATGCTATAGGACGATCTGAAACATGACGCACACAGGTAACCATATAAGCACAAACACTATAGCATAACGTAAATAGCATATCAACATAATTAAAAAGAGCTTGATCTGAGATCTTACAAAAATTACGTGACCCTATGCAATCAGCAGTATGTGCATCCCATATACGAACTTCATGGTCCAAACTACCACTGGCAAGAATTTCAGGGTATAGAGGGTGGAACCTAACCTGTGCATGCCCCATTAAATAATAGTAAAAGAACATAATATTTATCACAAAAAAATGGAAATAATAGTGTAAAATAGTATCAGTAAAAGAAAAAGCATGGTCAAAATAAAAATAATTAAAATCGAATGAAAGAAAAACCTATGCCTAGCAAATGGGCTCTTAATGAATATATCAGAGTTAGAAACAGTAGCGTAGTGATAGTGCTTAAGGTAAATTTAGAATTCAAAAGGCTATTTACCAAATACCAGTAACACTCATCACACATGGCTATCAAATTGATCATGCCCAATTAATAGGGATGGAACCAACCTCTCTTTTGAGCATGAACAAAATAAGATTATGAAATGCATAATTTTATGTATGAAATAATTTTTCTTAGAATTTGGATAACTGCATTTATTGAATGTGGGAAAAATAATTAAAATATTTATGCTTCTAAAAAAAAGATTCCAAGGTGGGCAATTGCCCACCCTGAGCTTTTTCTGGCTCCACCACTACACATGCAGGGAAAAGATTGAGTAACCGAGTTGTGCTTGCATCATTATGTGAAGGAACAAGGGATTAGCTGGTTTGTAGCCTATGTTGCACTAATACACCCATTTATAAAGGCTTGATGTATCTGATACACCGATACACGGATATGCCTCTGATACGGCACGGATACGTGTCTATCCAATTAAAATACTATTTAATTTTAAAAGGACCGTATCCAATTAAAATACTATTTAATTTTAAAAGGACACGCTTTAATTTTAAAAGGACATGCATATCTGATTCGTATTTACTTCCGTGGTTGCGAGGGAGGTTTTCTCATTTCCAAGATGGATTTGAGTCTCTTAATGATATGGAAATATTAGAAATTGCTAATCTTTCACTTGATGAGCCTGAATTAGAAGCTATGATATTTATTGAAGATGATATAGAAGTTCAAAGACAAACCAAAGCTAATCATATCATTCCTTCTATTAAATAGTTGAAACTTCATGTGCCAGACAATTTATGTTTATGCTTTGGTTGTTGTACTAGACATTTAATGCTTACTTTTATTTTGATATTATAAGCTACAAGGCTACAAATGATGTTACTTTTTTTTTGTAATTTCAAATATTATGCTTGGATTGCTTTCTTAATTTTTTATGTATGATTTATTAATTATAATATCATGTTTGCGCCGTACCAGTATCATGTATTTTTAAGAATTGACGTGTCTCGTATCCGTATCGTGTCGTATCCGTGTCGCCGTATCTGTATCGGTGCAACATAGTTTGTAGCACATTGAACGTCATGTTCTTATTCATTTTATTTTATACTAAACAACATAACTTCTTTATTTTATTTTACATGGATAACTACGATATTCAACAAAAAACATGAAGCACCAGTAATGCTTTAAACTAACTCCTAAACTAGATGATGCGATGTAAACCAACATTATATCACTGTGGAGATGGATGTCAGATGATCAATAAAGTACTTTTAATAATCTAATCTGACTAGCAGGAGTGTGTAAAGTTTCATCTTACCAACTCCAACAATTTCCCTTAATAGCCTTAGTTGACTACGTTTTTATGCAAAAAAGTCTCACATTTTGCAAAAAGCAAAGTTGTCATAGAACACAGTACTGATAGCATTGACCAATAATTGTTAACATCACACCTAGGTATAACTATCATAACTATCACGCCAAGAAACTTAAACTTATCACACCTAAGTATAACTTTATCTCCTAGTAAGATTGACCAATAATTGTTCACATAAAAATGCATATCATAAACTCAGCCTTAATTCTACTAATCCCAAGTCTAATATTTTTTAAACATTTTTTTTCATTATATACATTTCTATAACCAATAATTGTCATATGAAAAGCATTCATCAAGGAACCCACATTAAATGCTATTTCTAAGCATCTCCATAACAATACAAAAAATGTAGACTACATAATGAAATATTGATATAATCCTACTGTAATTGAAAAATCTTTGGTCGCTATACTACTTCTATTTCTAGCCAATGCTTTATCATGTGTATCGTTAACTTCAATCAACAAAATGTTGATTACACACTTTTTTCTTAATGTGCACCGAAGTACTCTATGGTACTTGATCATAAGCCTTTTGAAGGTCAATACAAAATTATATGAAATTGATCTCTTCTCTTTTTTCATTGCATCTTAAGATATATAATTTCTAAAGTACATAATACTCAGGGAAAAAAGTGATATTACGCCAAAATAAGAAAATTAAATTGCAAAAAAAAATTAGTGGTCCCATATTTAAATTAATATAACTGCACAACCTTATTAGAGATTCCCTTAGTTATTTCAGGTAAAATCACTTATTCATTGAACTTACATGCGCAGTAACATGGCATCTTCTGCATAGATTATATTATAAACACAAGTAAATTGAAACAAATGGCACATTGCCAACTCCTTCGGCAACCAGGCTGTCTGACATGCTATAGTTTTGTTAGGGGAGTGTATCAGTACTCAGTCAGTGTATTATATCATCAATCCTTGCATTGTATTAGCATTCCAGAAAGATGAAGTATAACAAAATATATATCATTCTTTGAACAGAAGAAAATGAAGAACAAAACAAAATATGCATAGATAAATATTGATGCTGCATACCACCCATGGTGTTCGACGATGACCACTCAAGACCTTTAAGCAGCTTCCAGTGTGGCAATCAATTATCTTAACCGTATGATCACCGCTATATGCATATTTCAAAATAAAGTTAATAAAAAGGAACACAAATATGCCATGAGATGGAAATCAAGAGATTGACTGCGTGCAAGAATTTACTGTGTTGAAGCGAGTGTTTTCCCATCAGAACTAAATGCTGCTGCTATTGTAGATCTTGGGGGAGGAAGAAGAGGACAGTACTTAGCTAACAAATGACACAACGACTCTGATTCAACCCTGATTACAAATGCTCCGTTAATCAAGCTTGTTATTGCCAAAAAAACCCTCAATTAAAGAGAAAAAGCATAAGAGGTGTAGGAACAATTAATAAGCTGGAATGGTTGCCAGGTGATTTTAATTCATGTAGCTAGAGTAAGAAAGTTATAAACAGCCAATCCCATTTTAAACTATCAATTAGTATGATATTCATGCATCATGCATTCTTTTGCCTTTACCAAGAAAGAAGGGCGTGTTTTGCATCGGTCACATCGCACTTTGGCCCAGAGCAATCAACCCTCCATTTTGAAGTTTCGCCCCATATTTTTTTTGAGGAACATTTTGCCCTCGGTGAGATTTCCCTCCTTGCTAGCAACTGACAAACATTTCTAAAAAAAACAAAGTGAAAAGAGAAATGAAGCAACTTCTATATCAAGAATCAGAAAGCGTTTAAAATTAATAGTAAAATCATTCAAAATTAAACGAAGTGCAGAAAGGCTAGTAATATATCAACTAATGAACAAGAGTAATAGACAATTCATACCCAAAAAAGATCATATTCACCTGTTTCTTAGAGGGGAATGAGAAGATGACTGTGACAAGGAGTGAACACTAGAAAATGTAGAATTTAAATATTTTGCATCATCAATCAAGCGTTGAGTCATTTCTATCTTTTAGCATGACGCCCCTGAAAATAGCAATTTTTATCAGAATCAATGACGCAATACATGTTAAATTTTAGCAAGAAACAAGAGAGCGGGAATATTTAAGAAAAAAAAAAGTATAAAAGAGAGAGGAAAGCTTACAACTCATTCACTCACAACTATTAAAGCTTCTGAGGTTTGTAACTGTAGCGGCAGCCATTTAAAGCCTCTTCAAATAAAGAATTAAACTTGTTAGAACAATTCATCAATTATCTGAATCACATATCTTCAGAGTTTTATTTATATCTGTGAAAAGTTCTACTCAAAATCTCAGTACAGGGAACTATAAAGGATATAGAAACCCACGAAGGGGAAAAAATTTAACATCATTTTAAGATGAAAGTTATATGCAGAGAAAAGTTAATATGAAGTTTTGGTCCAATGGTTTTTCTATGGAAGTGATAAAAAAAGCAAAATATCAAGCATTTCAAAAAGCATCATATAACAGCAAATGAGCAAAATATACCTTTTCACCCCTATAAAACCAACACAGTGAAGGGACATATTGGGGTTTGGGGGGAAAAATACCATCTAGAATAACTCAAACACAATAAATCCAACTGTAAATTTAGAGTAAACTTAGAATACGTATGATGGCATTTAAGCTGGTCAGATTCATATCGTCATACCTGATGTGAATCTAATGCAGATATTTTTTCCAAAGTTGACCTAGTATAACCTTCTGAGGAGCATATAGAAATCCAATCTTATGACCCGTCAAATAATAACTAATAGCACATAAATTTTAAAACCTAATACATCAAAAAAAACCTCACAGTTCCAAGCATCTAACCTAAAGGAAAGGTGTACCTAGAGCAATTTATTTCATGAATTACACAAAAGAGAAATACTCAAATTTACTAACTGTATATCAAATGGGCCAAAGTACAAGGGTACTCCAGTAACTCATAGCTCCATGCATACAAAACTAACTATTTTCAAATACAGAAAACCATAGAAGGCAACAGCAACACAAAGAGGTTACATTCAAAATTCAAAGTGTAAGGGAGCCAATTTCACATAGGATGGACGAAACAAGGAAACAACGAGGAGAAAGTAAGACTGCCCTAAGAAATTAAGAATAGAAAACTCCAAGCAGTCATGGCCGGCAGCATTTTTATTTAGAGACCTTCCCAAAACAGAGAAGGATTGACATGAAACTAACAAATTAAAATCTACACGACAGAAAAATATAAGTATGTTGATGAGAGTAAATCAATATCGAGAAAGAAATTAATAACGATGACTAATCATCCAGGATAACTGGTCAGGTAGAATCTGCCGCCAGAAGACCAAATACAAAGCCAGGGAAAAATAAATTTGAAACAAGGCAAGGCTCAGTTCAGCAGAAGACTTCACAAGCAAAAGCCATCCTTACGTACCAGGATCTTGGCAAAAAGATATACACAAATAAACCAAAAGTATGCAGCTACACTCATTTGCATTGATGCCACAGAAAAAAGGTGCTCAATGTGGTTCTCCCTTGGATCAACAATCTCAAGAGTCCAAAGAACTCAACCATCACTGACATAAACATGCAAAAAATGGTTGCAACAAAGAAACAGGGACTGAAATATCCAATCAGCAAGCAACACCTCGTCTAACTCATGAATCATCATAGAAAGGCCGATCTACTAGTATTGCCAATCAACTAACATAGGAACAAAGGCCCCAGACCCAATACGGTAGGAAATAAACATGATGCACAAGCATACCAAGACGATACCAATTTTAAGTGCAAATTAAAGGCAATAGAAATAAAATTACCTCAAAATCCAGCTGTTCGCGTCAGATCGGAGCAATTCGGCGACGAGTTGAGCTCCTTCGGACAAAAATGTTGCGGAATCAGATCTCAATTAATTCTTAGTGGTTGTTTGGTATCGGATTTACAGCGGGATTTACGCTAAATCCAGCCAAACGGTTTTTGTGCGCGCTTTAAATCCCGGCGATGGATAAATCCCGGATTTAAGGATTTACGGCATAAATCCAGGATTTACTAAATCCTCGGTTCGGCAGATTTACGGAATTTGACCAAAGAAGCGCGCGAAAGGGAGAAAGTTACCTTCACAGCCAGCGAGCTCCCGTTGTTGCTTCCGATCTTCTTCTACTACTAGAAGGAAAGACTTTCTTGCGTAACGGAGGCGGCGTTTCAGCGGATTTGAATGGAGATCGCTGTAGAGTGGAGAGTTGGGAGCGCAGAGCAGAGGACTCAAAATTTAGTGAAAACCTAATATCGTAACTGCCCTAATTCGGCAATCCCTGGATCCAGATTGAGCCGATCGGGCAAGTCGTTTTGCACTTTGGACCGGAGCCAGTCGAACCGGGTTACGAAGGGCGCCGATAGGCTTGGGAGTGGAGACCACACGTGCGCCGAGTTAAGGTTAGACCAGGGGCTAGCCGATCGCGTACATGCAACTAAACAAGACGCATTCTTTTCGGCTAATAAAAAGCGGTCCATTGAAATTCCACCGTTCAGGCTACACTACAGCGAGCTGCTGCAACAGGCCACTTTTACTATAACGTAGCTTTGTTAGTGGGCGTGCTCAATTGGGAACCCCTCATTCCGAGTTCGATTCTCTCGAGCGGCAGTCGCTCCTTCAGTGGGGTCCCCAAAGCCTCGACTACGGGTACAATGGTGTGGGAGACCCGGTAGGTCGGCCGCTCTCCATGTTTCTTTGAGCCTTGAGGATAGATTGGATATCACTCCTCGACGGCGAGTTCGCACTCTACAGACGTCGTGAATGTTCTCTCTCTCCCTCCTCTTCCTCTCTATTTGCCTAGCAGTCATGATTTTTCCATTGATATAAATACATATATATTATTTATTATTTATTAATTTTGGTAGAAACTTTTGTTATATGTATAGAATGATATAATCATCAGTCGTGGTAGAAAATTTTGATTTAATGTTGTTTTTTCCTTTCTTTTTTTTTTTCTGTTTGCGAAGTTCTGATTTCTTTATTAATCTATATAATTATATGTGGTGAAGCTGCTTTATATATAATCTAAGTGGTGAGCAGTAAAATTATTTGTTCCAGTTTAAACATTTATCAGGCTTTCATGCACTTCGAGTACAATTGAATAAATTTCAATTTATTCGATAGAAATTTACGGATTTTAAGCATTCTACATTATTCTTTAGGGAATTTTAGGAGTAATTATTATAATACATTACCTAGTACTAAATCATCCATCAAAGACTATTAATTTGTAGCAGGTGAGATAATTTTCCTTATGTAATTAATAAATTTTTATTAATTGTCTGGTTTAATGATTACAAAGTATGGTTAGGTTGAGGGTATTTTAAAGATATATAACTTGTACCCCACACAAAAAAAAATCTTAGCTTCGCCACTAATTGTTCTAACCTTTTAATTTAAGCAGAATATTTCTTTTAATCCAGTATTGAAGAGCTATCAGACTACACTCATAATGTAAATTTTAAGCGTGTATTTGACGTAATGGAATCACGTATCTAGTAAGCTATAGAGTTAAGAACAATAAATTTAAAATTTGTAGGCACCCAATAAAGGAGAGATTTCGCAATGAATAAGATATTTCAAATTAGTCACATGTCAACAAATTTAATGAAAAATATATGAGATGTAGAACTAGATATGTAGGTGGCATTGAATTGGAAATTCATTATACTTTAACAGAGCTTAACAAATTATTAATTCATCATGAACTTAAGCAATGACTTCGTCAAGCAAGAGGGTAATCAAGTTTAAGCAATCAATCACAAGTAATAGGAGGACCAATAGATAATCAAATAAATTAATATCATGCTCGCGTGATGTTTCAGAAATAATCCCCAAATTAACAAATAGATTAGTCACTACAAAGACCCACTGACACGACACTCTTGGTATGGGTTACGCGGATAAGTTTTCACAATAAAATGGTGCCATGATTGAGGATGGGTCAAAAGGTGCAAGGGGGGGGGAGAGAGAGAGAGAGAGAGAGAGAGAGAGAGATTACCCGCAAAGACGAATATAATATGCCACGGTGAAGTCATTTGGTTGTCTTGGTGGGAAGGACAGCATTATGAATCCCTTTCACACACTTGGACAACATTCTGTCATCCCTAGAAATTTAGACACCAGCTGTGTGGCTGCCGAAATCAGGAGCAACTAGTACTGGACTTGAAAATTAGTTGAATATGTGTATCACCAGCATGTAGCAGACCTTGGATGGCTTGGGAGAGAAATAACAAGCAATTGACAGTAGAAAAATAGTAGCAATCATTATTAGATGGCCTCCGAAACAACGGGAAGGCAAATAGCATAGACATGGGTCCAAGATTTATGTCTAGAAGATTTGTATAATTATGGTAAGGTTCAATGAGAGGAGGGGGTCGGCTCAAGCAATTAATTGGGGCTGATTGGGGCTTTAATTGGGTTGTCAATTTCAACATATTGATAAGGAATAAAATTTAATTCATATTTTCAATAAATAATCAGATTTGCAGATGGGGATATCCTTCCAAACATAGCCCAATGATTTAGGAAAGGAATTCAAAGTTTTTTAGAGAATTCAAATTTGAATTAAGGTTTCAAAAATTAAGCTAGGCTAATTTAGGAAGGTGAATTAATGGGGATTTGTCATTTAACTTTCAGATTTATTGATGGGGATACTTTTCCAAAAATAATCTAACAATTTAGGAAAGAGATTGAAGGCACAAGGAGAATTCAAATTTTTAATTCAGATTTTCAAAAATTAAGCTAGGCTAATTTATGAAGGAGAGTTAATAAGGAGTCTTCATTTAAATTTTAGATTTATTGATTGGGATACCTTTCCAAAAATAATCCAATAATTTTGGAAAGTGATTGAAGGCTCAATGATAATTCAAATTTTGAATTCAAATTTCTCAAATTAGTGCTAGGTTAATTTAGAAAATGTTAGAGGATCAATTTGGAGAAAGAAAATTGAGGAGAAGTTTCGGCCATGAGCAAAGGTGGGGGGAAGGCGACGGTTAGGAGGAAGATAGGAAGGGTTTATGGTGGATTGGCCAAGGAGATTTATGGGCGATGATTTCAGCTAAGCTTGGATGTGAGGATGCCGAGCTTGATAGGGAATGGAGGTGTCGATAAATAGTGAGCCCGAACGCTTCCTACAGCTGGCGGGTCTTGATTTTCCCTCACCTAGGGACTTCACATGCGCACTCACAAAAACTCTCAAACGCACCAAAACATAAAGTGAAGAAATTTTCATTCATCATAATCACCATCCTTCACAAGGGGGAGGTGAGACCTATAAATAGACAAAATACAATAAAACATCAAATGACAAAAGTGTTTCCTGGGATCACATAAACCTACTCCCTCAAGTGAGGGTAAAAACAAAAAATTACATATAATAAATCAAATACAAATAAATGCTCAGAAATAGAATAATCCGATTGTATCCGTAGATCTATGGCCCTTCCTCTTATGAACATTTCACACTCGGATGTCCTTACAATATGTGTATTGATGAGCTAATTTAGTTTATTAAGATCTTTAAAATTGTCGTTAAAATCATGAGATTAAATTTATACTTTTGTATATTCATATTTTTGGTGCTCATGTAGTCATGTTAATCAATTTTGCACGGAAGCGCAAACACACACTATTTACAAAGTTGTTAGAAATCAATTAGCTTGATAATCGCCGCAAAGAGTTAGCATTAACTAATCCATCAACATTCGGATATTGAATTCACCGCAAGGGCCTTGTCACATTACCTACTTATCAAGAATATATGCCTATATATATATATATATATATATATATATATAATGTGTGTGTTAGCTATCTAGAATATTCTTCAATCAATTAGAGTTTCTCATCAAAATAACTCATCCAGGAGAAAAATTATTAGGTCCGGACACTGGTCAATAAAATATCGACACGTGAAGTAGACACGTGGATATTTAATGTGTCCGCGAAACTTTAAGCTAAACACACCAAAAGCGCAACTAAAGCGCAGTAAAGTGCAACTAAAGTGCATGAAAACGTAGGTAAAGTACAATTAAAGTGCAAAAAAAAAAAA